GAGAGTGGGTGTCTAGGATTGCGGCATCTCGCGAAAAATTACCATACGACCAAGTGTTTCAAGCATCCTCTGCTGAGAAAGCCCTACTCACTGCCTTTTCTTGGCAGAGGTGTTCTCCGAAGGGAAGAAAAGGCTATAACCGGGTTGATGGAAAGCTGGTAGTTCAACAAAGGGAGTTGACCACAAACCAACAAAGAGGCGTACTAACCATACACACCTTTCCGGTCATAGCAATGGTCTTGGGCTCAATCAGGCACCTTGGGCGTTTGATCCCATCCGAGGGGCATGATCTGATTAGCTGAACACCGGCCCCTAATGGATTGCGGTTTTCACACCGCCCCGCTGCCTTGGCTTTGCTCGGCCGATGGCTCCGGTTGTGGAACCTTCAAGAAATCTCACCTGCCTTGGCCTGAACGGTCAGTATTTCACGAACAAAGCGTGGAATGTTTTTATTTCATAAAGATTATTGCGCCATGATTCGTTTGGCGCAGTCTGTCCCAGACGGGCATGAAATACACTAGATATACTGTATAATATACACCTCCATTATGCAACTCCCGAGTTAGAGAGCTCTCCGAACAACCTCCAGGGTGTCATCACTTTCTCCACCCTTATCATCCAATAAAAAAGCCCAGGAATAGGCTCTGGCAATCTTACCGTAGCATCTTGCACTGGGAATGCAAACCATAAGAAGCACTAAACAAAACTGTCAAGATGTGTTTCCATCCACTGGTACGTGTTCAACGAGTAAGTTAATATCATCGGCATGCTCAGCTGTCGTCCGGTTCGATACCCCACGTAACCTAACGGTGCCCCATATGGTTTGCAATTCTAAGTTCTGGGGTTTAGGTTACCGGTTTTCCATGACTAAAAATCAGGTCTTCGTGACGATTGGGTTTACCCTATCTGTTGTTCACCACACCACGATGTGTATTAGAAACGAGTGCGCAAACCGTCACAAATTTGATGAAAAGCTTTTCATGACGATTTGATGATGGTAGGCATGTGATACGGCTAATTAGAACCTTGAATTGGTCGCTTTTCCAAACTGCACAACTTTGGTTACCGAACGCCTTAGCTGGATAACGAAGTGTGTATGGATACGGTGAGGTTTCGACAGCTTCCTCTGAAGGGTTCTACAGCAATCCCGGCATGGATTGGATTCTACCGGAACTAGCCAGCTTTGTTAGATTCAGTATTTATAGTGATCGTTAAGCTTTTCGACGGGAGTTGTTCGCTGTGCAGCTGTGGTATATACTGCAGACCACATGTAACAATAGGGAACCAAATCGTTTTATACATAGTAGTACTACTATGCAAATGTTTCTACTTCCATTTTATGAGGCGATGAAGGAGATTTGAGGTAAAAGGTAGCTCATTCCGTTTCAGTTTATACTAACATGCACTATGCACTTACGTGTGGCGGTTCTAGTTGCCATATTTTTGCTATTCATTTTGATGAATGGGTAGGAGTGAAATGTTGCAAGCAGTATCAATGTAAAATTGGAGATCTCAGATGGACTGAGGTTGCAAGGAAATTGAATTGTAAGAGAGCAACTGAATGCAACAGTGCTTTACCACTCGGTATTTCAACAGTCGATTATCCAAATCGCGGTAGCCCTATCCAGGAAGCTTAAAGCAACCCATATGATGGAGTCTGTTGATCAGGGCCTTTCTACCCGCACTTTAGGTCTTGCTATGACAGCAGTTAGGATTCGTCCAAACACTATGCCGCAGAGAAGATCGCACACCGAAGCAGGTACTATGGTGACACGAGTACCGCCCCCAGCCGAAGTAATCTATAGTGATCGAACATTTGCTTCAGCGAGCGACGACTGTTTAACACGCATCATCATTGTACAGTGAAGCTAACTTCACTGCCAAACTCATAACGCATACAAGGTAAGTAAAAATATGTGAGGAGGATAGGTACAGAGCCTGTTTTTACGGGCAGGAACAGAAAGCGAACCTTCATGGGTAATACACAGTACGCAGTCCAATTGTGCAGACATACTACTTCAAGTATTCTGGTCCGATAAGAAGTGACACCAAGATCGTCACTTCTGTCGGTTTGCTGCCATGAATTATATTGTCTCCAACCACGCGGTTATGAAGTCTTTTGGACCTCAACGCGGAAGACGAGACACCTATTCCACTTATTCGCTCTGTGCATTTCTCCATCTTTAACACTCAGGGACAAGCATAGTTCTGTTCTCGTAACAGCCAACTCTGAGAACTTGATCGAAGTATCCCTCCAGGCAATGAATACAACACAGTTTGCAGGACTCTTAGTGCTGAACTGAAACGGTTCCAAAAGAGGATCGAGAGACCTGGTTCCGAGATGGAACTAGCCTCTGCTTCCGGTAATGCTCACAAACTTTTTCGATTAATCCGAGCCACTGGTAACAAAAAAACATGCGTCAGTGAGACCATATGCGAAATTAATGGCGAATGTATCCACAACCTATAATGTCGGCTTGGGTGCTGAATGGAGCACTTTCATCAACAATTCAGTTGGCCATCGACATCATCACCTCAATCTCCCGATGTGCTCCATGATCTGTGGACGTTTCATCGCCTACGTAGGAAGAAGTCTCCCGAGAACTCAGACTTCTGAAACGCCACAAATCACCCGGGCCAAATTAACTCCCTCCGACCCTCTTTGAAGACGACGGTGCAAGCTTCGTTCGCGAATTCACTTTCTTATTCCAAACCATCTGGAACACTGAATTCATTCCATCCGAATGGAGTTTGGCGGACGTCGTACCCGTTTTCCAAGGCACCCGCCACGATTGCTCCAATCATCGAGGAATCAGTCTCATTTCTGTTGCATCAAAGCTGTTAACGTCGCTGATACTTCGCAGGCTCAGTTGAACAAAAGAGCGTCAAATTCGCGAAGAACAAGCTGAACTCCGCCATGGCCGGAGTGGCGTTGATCACATATTTACGCAACGCCAGGTCCTTGGGCAACGTCTAACGTTCAGTAGACCGACCATTATTGTTTTTGGGCATACGTACTGCGTTTGACCCAGTTGACAAAGCAGCTCTTTGGACTTGTCTGTTAGGAAACGGTGTGCCTGAGAAGTAAGTAAGCCTTCTAAAAGCTGTCTATTCAAACACATCAGGCCGCGTCAAGGTCTATGATCGCATTTCCCCTTCATTTACCATCACTAGCGGAGTTCGACAAGGATGCCCGGCATCGCCATTCCTCTTTAATTTCGCAAGAGACAAAATCCTAAGCAGCGCTCTAGAAAACTGTAGCGCTTCCGGTGTGGAGCTTCTCCAAGGTGATCGACTCCGTGACTTAGAATACGCTGATGACAGCGTTTTGCTCTACGACTCCTCCCAGGACGCTCAAAACGTCGTGTGTAAGTTAGCATTGTCCGTCACGCAGTTGGTATGACATTCTTTCCATCGAAATGTAAGGTTTTACTATAAAACTGGCAAGAGGTTACACCTGTCCCCAAGCTTACGACCAGTTAGAAATCGTCGTTCACTTTACTTATCTCGGGAGTTGCCTCAGCTCAAGAGGAATGACGGAAGAAATATCAGCGCGCATCCGCAAGGCTCGAGTGGCTTTCACTAACTTACGTCACTTGTGGCGCCGACGCGATCCGTCTCTCCTTGAAAGGCCGCGTTTACAATGCAACATTACGCCTTGTCCTACTCTTCGGCTGAGAGTTGGCTCCTCCGCGAAGAAGACGTAGGGATATTAAGTGTCACCGTTACCTTTGTTGCATCGCCAGAATACATTTGCAACAGCGAATCACCAACGACGAGG